TCATTTTGCAGTGAATTGATAGAAGAAAATAAATTGTGGAAATTAAACAGAATATAGTGGAAGAGAAATAACAATTTAACATAAACCAGTGACACACTCCGGGGCCTGATCAGCCCTGGCAGGGCCTCCTGGATCAGAGTGTCTAGTGATAATGATCGAAACACCCAATGAATCCAAAGTCCGCTACTGATGATGTGTCCCAAAATTTCAATACTATAATCTAGATCAGATCTCTAATCCCTATGCCTAACCAAGGAAGGTAAAAAGAAACCAAAAGAACAGTTTGTGGCAAAAGACAGAAACACCCTGTGAGGTTGAGGCACACGATGTGTCCCTCTGGTAAAGTTAAAGTTAGGAGAGAGTATGACCATGCAGCGTTTCAAGCTTGGAAGTACAGACAGTCCTTTGAGTTTGAGTCTGTAAAAAGTGACAAAAACATTAGCATCCGGTGTACACTCTGAGTGGGAAGAAAACTTCTTTCTTCTTTGAAATGAAACTTTAATTCTGAAGGAGCACCTAACAAGCTGGCACAGGAATGTGAAATTCACAGAGAAACCCGTGGATCCCCCCACTGACATGACCTCCAACACTTAGGGCTATCACACTTAGGGCTGTGTGATATGATGAAATATATCGGATAACAAAATGAAAACATCTATTGTTGCCGCAAACCGGTCCCCACCACAGACTCAAACATGGCAAACCTCTTCTACCACCTACGCAAGAGTTACGTGAAAGAGTATGGAGAGTGTTTACAGATCAGAAGCAAAAAAGAGCCGTCAGGTGCTCAAAATAAACTTTCGACTCAAACGTTAGAACAGTGTTTTCCTCGCCGCACGCCACGTAATAAATACTCACAAAAAATGGCAGCCCTTACAACTTGTATCTAAAAATATATAGTTTCATGCATCGGTCAAAACACTCGACTCCAGGTACACGATAGCTCAAAAAAATTCACACAACTCGAGTTGCCCAAGATTCACAGAATTTAGAGAAAAAACACTATTTTGTGATATATATGGTTATCGGGATGAGAAATGTCTTATATGAGATGGTTATGAGATTTTGGTCCTATCGCAGAACCGGAGTCCCACGCCTGCTGAACAGGTGAAAATAGACGTAAGAGTTACAGAACTTAGTGCCGCTGAATGTTTGATTTTATTTCTTTATTTCTTTATTTCTGTTGTCAAATTTGCAATAAAGAAATTAGAGCTCTTTTCTTTCCGATTCAGAGATGGTCTTTCCCTTTTCACGTAAATGTCCTCCTTGACTCTGCGCTCAAACCAGCGTTCCTTCCTGTCCAGGATGTGTCCTCATCATTGAAAGTCCTGGCCTGACGAGGTAGGTCTTCTGTGTTGTGCTATCTGCTTCTTCCAAGGTTGTTTGGTTTCCCCGATGTATAAATCCTGGGAATCCTCCTGGCACTTAACAGCGTACACTATGTTACTGCATTTGTGTCGGGGGACCCGATCCTTGGGGTGGACCAATTTTTGGCACAGCGTGTTTTGGGGTTTAAAAGCCACAGAGACCTGGTGTTTAGATAAAATGCGTCTCAGCTGTTCCGATACTCCTGACACGTACAGGATCACTACAGGTTTTCACATAGGCAGCGGTTGTCCTTCTCTCCTGGATCGGCTGGAGCTTTCTTTAGGAGCCTTCCCAGCATTGACAAAAGTCCAGCTGGGATAACCACATTTACTCAGGGCCTTCTTGATGTGATGTTCTTCTGCCTCCCTGTCCGCTGTGTCAGTGGGGATGGTGTTTGCTCTGTGTTGTAGCATCCTGATGACACCCAGTTTATGCTCCAGTGGATGATGAGAGTCAAACCTTAAATACTGATCCGTATGTGTAGGTTTATGGTACACATCAGCTTTTAGATGTCCCCCATTACTGATGGAAGTCTCATAGTCTAAGAAGGCTAACCTGCCACTGTTCATATCCTCCCTGGTGAATTTGATGTGTCGGTCCACTGAGTTAATGTGATCCGTGAATTGTGGTACGTCCTGAGATTTGATTTTCACCCAGGAGTCATCCACATACCTGAACCAATGGCTTGGTGGTGTTCCAGGGTAGGATAGCAAACCCTTCTTTTCCACTTCTTCCGTGTACAAGTTGGCCACAATGGGTAAAACAGGGGAACCCATGGCACACCCATGTTTCTGCCTGTAGTACTGACCCTTGTATGTGAAGTAGGTTGATGCTGAAGGTGGTCCTGTTGCTGAGGTTGGGGTCATCGTGTAATCTCTTACGAACTATCTCCAACGCTTCCGTGACTGGGATGCAAGTGAAGAGAGACGTAACATCGTACGAGACCATAGTTTCATCTGCCTCCATAATGACATCTCTCACCTTCTCAACAAAATCCAGGGTGCTCTAGTTGTGGTGTTCACAGCTGCCTACCAGCGGGTTGAGGATCAAAGCCACAATCTTGGAGATGTTATAGGTGATCATACAGGTCATACAGGTCTTAAAGGTGCACCCTCTTTGTGTATCTTGTAATACTAACTCTTCTGTATTTTTCATTTTTGTTGTTGTTGTTTTTGTGACACGATATTGTCCGAGTGGCAGCACTTATGGTTTAGGAGAATACTGCAACAGCGGATATAAATGGCTGCATCTGTGTGACAATAATGGTGCAGCCGTGAGCGAAGAGACCAGTGTGGAGGGTATATTTGCACCTTACCATTACTAATGTTAAGAAACTTTGCAGATATGTCGCCAAAGGTTTTATTGTTCTTAATTGTAGAGCTAAATTTGCATTGCTAAATAAATAAGCGAGATTAACCACAGTACTTTTAAAACAGCCTTCGTAGCCTCGCTGTGACGTAATCACCCTTTAAACACGGCCTGCAAAGGAAGTGGGCCTAAATTGGGACACAGCTAGCAAGTGTAGCGGTACAGGCCAGGTTGGGTTTTTTTCAACAATATATATTACTTATTTTATTTGGCTGCAGGCTTTTCTCTATTGATATTGGCTATTTGGATCAATGGATTTTTGCAAAGTTTATGATCTAATGCTGCATTCCATTTGAACTGGGAATGTGTGTGTTTGTGTCTGCCTGAGTACGCATGTGTGTGGTGGTGGTGGGAGCCAGGGCACTATATGCGACTATAAAATTGTTTAAATTACATATGGACAGTTAAATAAGCTTCCCCGTAATATCCCTCAGAGCTGTCTCCATCTTTTTTTTTTTAAATATGTGAAAGTAGTAGTTTTATACTTTTCTTTTATATCATGGTGTGGGTGGCTGTAGCTCAGGTGGCAGAGCAGGTCAGCCACTAATCAGAAGGTCGGTGGTTCGATCCCAGGCTGCCTCCTGGCTGCATGCCAAATATCCTTGGGCAAGATACTAACCCCATGTTTGCCTACTGGTGGTGGTCAGAGGGCCCGGTGGCGCCAGTGTCCGGCAGCCTCGCCTCTGTCAGTGTGCCCCAGGGCAGCTGTGGCTACAGTGTGCTTACCATCGCCAGTGTGTGAATGGGTGAATGACTGAATGTAGTGTGAAGCGCTTTGGGGTCCTTAGGGACTAGAAAAGCGCTATACAAATGCAGGCCATTTACCATCATGCATATGTGCAACATCCGTGTTTACACATGCAGATTAATAGGTTTTTCAGAAATTTACTACAGAAAATATAACAAATGTAAAATCTTAAATTATTCCATGTATCTACTTATTGAATAAATGAACGACATTCAGCACTTTAGGTATGCCTATGTGATCAACATAGTGGGCCTTGTATAAGAACTGCCACACCAGCAGCTAAGAGTGATGGGGATTTGGTGTTGTGCCGAAAAGTGGTTTATCATATTTGCCAAAATGTTGATTGTCGGTATTTAAACGGTTGTAAATACAACAATGCAGATGCATAAAAATCCTTGCAAAACAGTTCATTTAAATTTTTTTTATATGTAGTCCCTTTGTAAATCCTGTTGACTGCAGACTGTTTATCAACATAAGCAAAGATATTTGGCATAAAAAAAACACAAACACATAGAACCGCCAGAAATCACTTTTTGGCAGACGATCACAAAAGAAGCAGCAACTGGCTGCATTTCTGTGATATTGGAGACAGAAAGGTTGAGTACATAATTGGTAAAAAAAAAAAAAGAAGAAGAATAAATATATCAGAGCAGCGTAGGCAGAGGGTGCGCATTCGCTGTCTGCTCTACTCCAGGGTCTTGTCCGTCTGCCTGCTCTGTTGTCAGATGGAGGTAGTGTGCAAAGTATGTACAAAACGGGTCTGTGGGCCACTCGTGCTCATCTTCTTGTTGGTTTGTGAGCCAGCCAAAAGAGAGCGAAGTTAACATACCATCAGCTGAGGTGAAACCATATTAAAAACTATTAAAAATATCCAACTACAGTCTCTGGTTTTCAAGTATTATTATTATTATTATTATTATTATTATTATTATTATTATTATTATTATTATTATTATTATTATTATCATCATTGTTTAAAGTTTTTATTGCGGTTATCCTGTTCTTGTGAACTAGCCTATGATACAGCCACTTGTCTGACCAATCAACTTGGCAATTGCTTATGCTTAATAATTTCCCCTCAACTATAAATCAGTGACTTTTCAGTTGTGGCCACATTGTACCACTGTGAGAGGGGTGCTACAGAATAGTCTAAATGATAGCAGCTTTAATTTGTTCAACTATAAATCAATGATTTTTCAACCTGATGTGGTGATCTGGCCAACTATAAATAGATCAACAAGCAATAATAACGGGATAACTATAAATCAGTATTATTCCAATGTTATTACTATCGCACTGTAGGCTTTTTTAACGTTTATTTAAGATTTCTTTAGCATTAACATTTCAATCTTGATCATAATGAAGTTTTAGACCTTGAGAAAAATTAACATCTATTTATTTATTAACATGTTATCTGGTGTACGTCATCCGCGTCCAGCAACACGCAGGATCTTGGGGGACTGCACGTGTGAAAACCGCTCTCCCCCATCTGTGCAACCGAAAAGACGGACACATATAAACCCGCTTAATCTGCGTTTAAGGCAGGCAAGCCAAAAGAGACGAATCTTAGAAAAGACCCAGACTTCCCATCACTACCTCTTGGGTATGTGAAGGTGAGTCTACAAAAATGGTAAGTCTAATTTGTTTCAATAAAAAAACAAAAACAAAAACAAAAAACAGAACAACAAGAACAACAAAAAGCCACCCAGTGTTGTAAGAAAATAAGTGTGCCTGCAAGAGAACTCAAACCATGACACGCAATGAGCAATGTAAGACGTCTTCCTGTTTTGGCGATCTTTGGAGCTGACCTGAGAGACAGCGAGAGACAGCGAGAGTAGCAGGTGCAACGTCTCTTCTTCCTTTTTACCGAAAATTTGTGACTTTCTCCTCTCTTCTATGATGGAAGAGAGCGAAGACAGAAAAGAAGGATATTACCAGGTCGCCAAGCGGCTCCGGACGGAACAAGAGACCGGTGTAAAAGAGCTAGAGGACGGGAAGGAGGAGGAGGATTCTGCCGCTGAGGAGGCAGCGGGGAACGGGTGCACTGAGAACCGCAGGAGCGGAGGGAAGGTGAGGCACACAATATTAATCCTTCTGTATCTAAATAAAATGTAAATATTTAACATTTTTTCATACGATTTACAAACAACTGGAAGGGTCTGAAAATTATGTTAATGATTAAAATAGACAGCAAGAGAAATGAAAGAGTACAAAGTCAGAGTGGAATATAAATGAGTTTCTACATTTATTATTATCAGTCATTATTTACATAAACGGCGTAACTTTGGAACAAGTGGCAGTAACCCGTTTTCATCGTCACGACGATCACTAACGTGCTTAAGAAAAATGTGTTGGAAGTTAACCAGTCCGGAGCTTCGTGTTAACTCAGTTTAATTCATTTGTGATTTTATAATTCAGAACAGTCCACTCTCTTTGTATTGTAAGGTTAAAAACCAACAATATTATAGAAAACCCGCAGATGTACGCTATGAGCATATGTGGAGAGTGAGAAGAACTTTTAACAGGATGAGCACACCAGCCATACCATGTCCCAGACTGGTGGTTAGAAACTATTTAAAGATGAATCATTTTTTGAATTAACTGAATTGAATAAGTGCAAGAAAATGAATGGATGAATGGATATGTTAAAACTTTTTGTTCGCATTCTTCCTTCCTTTGAGCTCCATGGAGATCTTTATATGTTAACTTGTAGACGTGCATCCAGTCAGCAAGTGTACTCTGCATCATAACATACATGATGAGTAGTGTCCGTATTCCTGATTTACTCATGGATCTTTGCTGTTTCAGCCTGGATATAGAATCTGCACTGTAGTGTACATATTCCACCACTCTAGTGGCCTCCCCAGGCTTTCCTAGCGGCTTTTTCAGCAGTCACTTGAGGGACTGCTTTATCTACCAGTAGCTGGTGTTTTGCCCGCCTGGTGTTTCTGTCAGTTCCTTTCTGGGCCCTGCTCATATATTAAGCTATGTTGTTTTTAAGAAGACCATATCGTTCTAAGAACTATTACTATTTTTTATTACACACATTTGTTTAGCAGTTTATCAAACTTAGTCTGGACAGATCATTATTTTCCTCAAGCAAAATACCGTTATTGAGTTCTACCTCAAAGCTGTGGCTTCATACCGTAAAAAAACACATTAATTGAGTACTTATATTCAGATGATATAAGCAGCATATAGTCACCAGGGCTCGCAAAATCGCTAACCCGACGTCCCGGGGCTAGCGATTTTTCCAGTCGGGCTACCAAAATCTATCTCTACCCTGCCCGTCGGACTATCATAGGAAGGTAAAATATATGGTAAATGGCCTGCATTTGTATAGCGCTTTAGTCAGTCCCTAAGGACCCCAAAGCACTTTACACTACATTCAGTCATTCACCCATTCACACACACACAGGCAATGGCAAGCTACATTGTAGCCACAGCTACCCTGGGGCGCACTGACAGAGGCGAGGCTGCCGGACACTGGCGCCATCAGGCCCTCTGACCACCACCAGTAGGCAAACATGGGGTTAGTATCTTGCCCAAGGATATTTGGCATGCAGCCAGGAGCATATGTCAGTGCTTTTGCATTCTTTCGGAAATGTAGCTGGGTAATTATGTCATTGGCATCAGTGAGCCAATATGTGACATATTGTTTTGTGTTTTGCTTTCACTTTGCAATCGCGCGAACTATGTATCCGGTCGTTAAGTCTGCCGTGTCTGGGCCTAAACTCCGCTGCAGGTCCATATATCAAACGATCACTATGGCATTACTGAGAGTTGAAAAACTGTCTAAAGTCTTTCATCTTTAATAAAATGATCAGCGTTCTGCTCTACCAGGTGTAACAATTGAGTTTAACACCCAGGCATCCATGAAAACGGAATTTATGACATTTAACGGAGTTAGAAGTTAGCAGGAAGTTAGCTCGCTAGCTTCTATCTAAATACAATATAGCATGTCCTGACTGCGGGGTTTTGGAAACAAATTAAAACGTACAGCTCTGCTATCACTTCCAGCATAAATGAAGACAGAAAACTAAACAGCAGTGACGTTTGTAGGGTTACTGAAGTTTGGCTAGCTGGTATATAATGATGTGCTACGTGACCGCTAGCGACACAGCTATGTTAGCATAATATAAACAAGCTAACTTTTTTTTTCCACTCGATAAAAGTTAACGTGAGTGTTCAGGTCAGGAACAAATGTAATCGCATGGCAGGATGCTGTAAAAGGACCAAACTTCAGCCAGGAGAACAACTGAGATAATCCATCAACAATACGAGGTTAGTCATTCATATACTGCTGCATGTGCTGGGCTGTAGTTACATCCTAAGGTTTTAAAAACTGAGCTTAAATAAATGATTAGCGGTAATAAAAGCCGAGGGAGGTCAACAGTGATCACTGACTGTTTTAGGAGCTTTTTGAGATTAAATATTCAAATTCAAATTCAAATTTTATTTGTCACACACACACAACCATACACAGTATGACATGGGGGTGAAATGCTTGTAGCTGTACAATGCCCGACCATTAAATGACAGAAGAAAAGTTTTACAATATTTACAATTTACTACAAAAATTTACAAATTAACTTAGGAATTTACAGTAAAGAATGTGCAAATAGCAGAAGAGATTATAAAGATAAGGATTATAAATTATAGGAATTATAGGATTATAGGAAATGTGTGGTGGTGCGTGTGGTGACGTGTGTGAGAGTCCAGTCTTATAATGACGTGTTTGGGAGAGTCCAGTCCTTCACCTGGTTCAGGGCCCGAATAGCCTGGGGGAAGAAGCTCCTCCTCATTCTCTCTGTTTTGGCCTTAAGGGAGCGGAAGCGCTTCCCAGACCTCAACAGTGAGAAGAGTCCATTGTTGGGATGGGAGAGGTCCATCATAATCTTCCTAGCTTTGGACTTGCACCGCTTGGTGTAGATGGACAGCAGGTCAGGGAGCTCTGATTGAATGATGCGTTCTGCCGAGCGCACCACCCTTTGCAGATCTCGTCTGTCCTGCTTGGTGCTGTTCCCAAACCAGGTGCAGATGTTTGACGTCAGGACGCTCTCGATGGTGCAGGAGTAGAAGTTCTTGAGCACCTTCAGTGGCAGATGGAAGTCTCTAAGTCTTCTGAGGAAGAAGAGACGCTGACGGGCTTTCTTAACCAGGGTGTTGATGTGACAGGACCATGACAGGTCCTGAGTGATGTGGACACCCAGGTATCGGAAACTGTCCACTCTCTCCACTGGCGTGCCACTGATGATGAGGGGTTTGTAATTCCTCGCCTGCTTTGTAGTGAAGTCCACGATCAGCTCCTTAGTCTTGCTGACGTTTAGGAGGAGGTTATTCTCCTGGCACCAGGTCTCCAGGTTCCTAATCTCCTCCAGGTAGGCCGTCTCGATGTTGTCGGAGATCAGGCCCACAACAGCAGTGTCGTCAGCAAACTTGACAATGGAGGTGGTGTCGGATGTGGCTACACAGTCATAAGTGTATAGTGAGTACAGCAGGGGGCTTAAAACACAGCCCTGAGGCACTCCAGTGCTGAGTGAGATGGAGGGGGAGACTTGTTTTCCTACCCTCACTGATTGGGGTCTGTCTGTGAGGAAGTTGAGGATCCACTGACACAGTGATGAGCTGAGTCCTAGATCCGTCAACTTGGTGAAAAGCTTAGAGGGAATTATTGTGTTGAATGCTGAACTGTAGTCCACGAACAGCATCCTAACATAATTCCCTCTGCCAGTGTCCAGGTGACTCAGGGATGTGTGGAGCAGGTGAGATATGGCATCGTCTGTGGAACGATTAGTCCGGTAAGCAAACTGAAGTGAGTCGATGGTGGGAGGAAGTGAAGAAGTGATGTGATCTCTCATCAGTCTTTCAAAACACTTCATCACAATTGAAGTCAGTGCTACTGGACGGTAGTCATTGTGGCAAGCGGGCTGTTGTTTCTTTGGAATAGGGACAATAATGGACCGTTTGAAGCACGTGGGAACCACAGCTTGGGCCAGGGAGAGGTTGAAGATCTCCGTGAACACCGGTGCTAGTTGATCAGCGCAGGCTCTAAGGACCCGGCCAGGGATTGCATCTGGTCCTGCTGCCTTCCTGGTGTTCACCCTCCTGAAGGTGTTCCTCACGGCATGCTCTGTGATGACGAATGCATTTTCTTCACTGGTGCACTCCGAGCGCGCGCAGCCGTTTGTTGTTTTAATTGCTGCGCCGTCGAAGCGAGCATAAAACGTGTTCAGCTCATCAGCCAGTGAAGCATCGGCATTCATCATTGAAGAAGCTGGTCGTTTATAGTCCGTTATAGTCCGCAGTCCTTTCCACAGGCTCCTAGAGTCGCACTGTCGTAGCTGTGACTCTAGAAATAGAAGAAAATACAAAATATTAAACATGTTAACAAACACAAAAGCCATATTAAACGCAGACTAGGATTTGTCACGTCATCGCTTAACGACCGGATAGAGAGTGACAGTACTGATTGGTGAGTGACGATAATTTCCTCTGACATCGTCTTATCAATCGTTAGCTTACTATGCAAACATGACAAGTGAAATCTCCCGCAGCAAGCTTAAACATGTGAGAGGTTGATCGTGCAGAGAATCGCTGAGCGTTATGTGAGTGTGTGTGTGTAAAAGCAGCAGGATATATATTTTAGTTCTGCTGAGCCACTTCTTCACCCTGCAAAAAAGCAAATGGCATAGATCTTCTTCACCCTGGTGAAGAAGTGACAGGAAAAGAAAAGCCTACCACAAAACGGAAAAGTTATGTGGTAGGCTTATCTGGTGCGCGTCTTTTATTTTGACAGCGAATGTGCACATGTGGACCACTTATGTGCACCCGTGTAAATAACATAATGTTCTGCCTGGTGTGTTGTTGGTTCTCCCTCGATTTCTGAGTCGACAAGCGCCTTTGTTACTGGGACCAGTAATTTTAAGAAAGGCCCCCATTAGAACCCATGAAAAATGCAAGAAATGCATTATTGCTCAGTCTGCAATATCTTTCCCAGAACAAACACCAATTGCAAATAACATACTAAAAATAAACCTGAAAAATCTGTTTAGAACAGCGTACTATGT